GTTTCTGCCTGCTTAAACATACCCATGCCAGTGCCCTGACATTTCACTCTGCCTGCCTACCACCCCCCCCATCTCTGGCATCCCTGGATCCTCATTTCTTTCCCACACACCCACATCCTCTGATGCTCCCACATAGACACGCAGACCAGGACAGCACAATCAGACCTCTAGGGAAGGCCCTTTAAAGCTTTTGTTATTTCATTAAAAATGAATCCATGTGCATTTCTGCCACTTTACGTGCTGTGATCTGGAAGCCCTCTCTTGCAACTGCTGTCCCTGTTGAGAAAGCCTGGGCATCTACAAAGCCGCTAGTCACATCCTTTAGACCAGCGAGGTGGGCTCCCATCACGTTTGAGCTGCTGGGGGACTCAGGCACCGTGGTGGGCAGCTGAAATCCTGCATCATTCCTGGCAAAGCATTATCCTTCTGCCACTGGCCTCAGCCTCACAAATGGGCTTTGAGTTAGTTTTAAACAGAAGAAAACCAGAAACGTACCCAATACACAAGCTAATTTGTTTGCAAATGTTCCGCTCATTTCATGCATGGAAAGCCGCTCTGAAGCAGCCAAGCTCTATTTTTACCATCTCAGTTTTCCATTTAATTTTGGTTTGGGATGCACAAGAAGTATGTTCTTGTTACCAGTCTATTCATTTATCAAAAGCTCTCCTCTGTGGGCTCAATACTTTTGTTTACTGCACAGGAGCTGTTTTCTCTTTAAAAGGTCAGCCCCCTTATCAACTCTTTCTTTAAGTGAGTCTGACTACATGTACCTGACTAAAAAAGACATGGAATTCCCATTTTATTCCAGCATATTTATTGTTTCACGTAGTAGCTCTAACAAGAGCAATCTGTACTTCTGATGTCTATAAGCAAATCCCTGAAAGATAGCTCATACACTTCAGAGGTAGACCTTCCTACACAAATCAGGAGATATGTGAAAAGTAGAACTACTCTTTTCTCTCAAGACATCTAAAGGCTATGAAAACTTTGAATTATTTGTGCTCATGCTGAGCTTTGCTAGCTCCAATAAAGATAGATGGGCTTTGCTAGCTGAAGGCTAATGTACCATCTAAAACATCAATTATTTAAAAAACATAATACCAGTTCAGCCTGTTCTGGTAAGATCCACACATACTGTAGAAAGAAAATTTAAATCCACATCAGTATTTTATTTTTGCATTAAACTCTACATTCAGCCACCCAGAATCAAATGTCATCAAGACTCCTTAACAGATTTGCAGAAACTGGATGTTGCAATCTAACCAGCTGGGATAACATAACAGCCCAGCACTGTCAAATCTTTCTACTCTTTCAGAAAGGTTCCGGTTACCTCTCAAAGTACCTTATTTTTAGAGAGGAAACTGGTGATCTAGTGAGTCGTGCATGGGACAATCCTGGTGAATGATGGGTTATTTTCAGTTAGACCAGAAAAAACTATAGGAAAAATTAAGAGCAAAACAAAAAGACTTTTACACAGTTTTTAACAAAGTAAGAAAACCAAACAGAAAACCCCTATGTCGTGGTTTAACCCCAGCCAGCAACTAAGCACCACGCAGCCGCTCACTCACTCCCCCCCACCCAGTGGGGGGAGAAAATCGGGAAAAGAAGCAAAACCCGTGGGTTGAGATAAGAATGGTTTAATAGAACAGAAAAGAAGAAACTAATACTGATAATGATAACACTAATAAAATGACAACAGTAGTAATAAAAGGATTGAAATGTACACATGATGCGCAGGGCAATTGCTCACCACCCGCCGACCGACACCCAGCCAGTCCCCGAGCGGCGATTCCCCGCCCCCACTTCCCAGTTCCTATACTAGATGGGACGTCCCATGGTATGGAATACACCGTTGGCCAGTTTGGGTCAGCTGCCCTGGCTGTGTCCTGTGCCAACTTCTTGTGCCCCTCCAGCCTTCTTGCTGGCTGGGGATGAGAAGCTGAAAAATCCTTGACTCTAGTCTAAACACTACTGAGCAACAACTGAAAACATCAGTGTTATCAACATTCTTCGCATACTGAACTCAAAACATAGCACTGTACCAGCTACTACGAAGACAGTTAACTCTATCCCAGCTGAAACCAGGACACCCTACCTCACCCAAAATAGGTATTACAAAGTCTTTCATATAATCCCTCCATTTGAGGTTATTTAATCCTTTTGAACAACTTTGTTTCCTACACCTAGGCAAAATTTTACTGTGAAAAAGGAGTGAAAATTTGAATTCTGAAACTGTTGCTAAAAGCTCCTAAACTTCAGTATTTCACAGATAAAACACCACATTTTTGAAAGTCTGAAATTAAATGTCTTTTCCTTCATGAAATATTTTGGAAAATCCTGTTGGTCAAATTGAATCCAATTTACAAAATGTTTCAGTGCTTACAATTCTTTTTTGCTACCTAGTTCCCTATAGAAAAGGATAATAGCAATTATAGCAATTTCACAGCAACTCCTTTGATTCCTTTTTTCAAACAAGTTCATAGACCTATTTACTTTATTATGTAGCTTAAGTGAAATAACATAGTAAATGGTAGTTTAGACACCATTGAATTGTTTATATGAAGACAAAAAGTTGCTATTATTTGTTGACATAGAAGCATTTTTTTCTGGATTTGACTTATATTTTCAGTCATGTTGGGTTTCACATTGTACTTGCCTGAATACATCTTTTAACAAATTCATATGTAGATGGGTATAAACTCCTGTATAGCTGATGCTTATTGCAGAAAGGGTATATGGTTTTTCATTCAAATTAAATAAAGGTAAGAAAAATTCTGGATTGAAACCAAACATATGTTCATTCAATCTTTTGTTCTGATTCAACTAAACAAATTATTTTAAAAAAAAAAAAATCATTACTTGAGTCAGTTTTGTTTTCTTGCACTCAATTTGCTTTGTAGACAAAGCCACAAACTCTGACCTAAACAAGCCTGTTGTTGAACATGGAAGTCCTTCTATAAAATATCAGCATCAGGCAGATCCAGCCTGTGGCTGCACTCTTACTGCCTGAAAATAAAAGCACACAACTGTTCAGGCTCCACACAAAGCAGGAGCAATTTTTTTGAAGATATTTCACAGGGACATTGAGTGGAATAGCTATTTGAGAAAATACTTGTCTGTAGCTTTGGGAGCAGCAGCGCTCATGAAGAAGAAACATTTCTTGTAGCTCCCTTTTATATAGATTCCTTGGTACCTGATAGTGTGGTTAACTCAGTCTGTTTTCATGACACTGGTAGGAATTTAGTATTTCTGAGACCTCCACAGACTGTCAAATGCTGCTATGCTAACCTTTCAGAATCTAACTGAAGATCTGAAAGAAATCTAAAAGGCTAAACACCAGCCAAAGTTTCAAAAGTGATTGGGGGGAGGCCAGACAGAGTGATGGATAAGGCTCATTTCCTTAGGAAACATGGCTAAAGTACTGTTCTGCATTTACCATTTCCAGGTTATCAAAACACCACAACCTGAAACAAAACATTGACCCAGCTGAAATTATGGAGGTTTTAGAAATTTCTTTTTCTAAATGTCTTTTTAAATGTCACTCCCAGCCTTATTTCTCAGTTATTTTTTGTCTGCAGTCTATAAACTGCACAAAGTAGAAATGGGAAATCAGTAGCAAGAAACTAGGTCTTTGTATTTCACCGTGACTTCTTTTGGCAGGGAAAGGGGATGAAGCTAGTGATGGCCTAATTATTTAACTTAAAGAAAGCAGCCAGAATCCCACTTTCAACTGCAGTAAGAAATGGCAGAGGAAGGGGATGGAAAGAACATAGCAGCTGTTCAGTTAAACTAAGTAATTGTAAGAGAGGTAACTGGTCTCTGAGACAATGTTATTTGTGAGGCAATGTTTGGATTCAAGAGTTTGGCTTTGTATATTAGGCCAAATGAACAATGTCACTCACATCAGCCAACAGAAAACTGTGTATATCCACCGAGTCACCACCATGAGAGACAGCAGCAATCACAGAAATGTTGTTCCCCAGCATCTATGAGAAAAATTTTAGTAATTTTCTTCTCAAGTGTGCAGAAAAGTTAAATTAAAATCCTGCCTGATTTTTGTAAGGGAGGAGCACCTTACTCTTCTGAAATAAGTTGCCTAGAAGCAAAAGCCACCGAAATCCTCCTTTGACTGCAAAGTTATCAAGAAAGAAATCTCCATTACCAGATTAAAAAAAAAAAAGTTCTTGGCTGTTTCAATTTTCCCCATCTTTCCAGCCCCTTCTGTAACTTCATGCAACAGTAATAGCAGAAGGAAAACCAATATGCTTAGGCAATGTCTGTGACCTAGGGGCAGTCTGTTTGGGGTGCAGCTGGGTGTAAACTGAGGGGGGGAAATATAATTTAAGGAAGGAAGCTTGTGACATTTTTTCATTCTTCTTTTGAGAATTGGGGGGTAGGAGGAATCAGGTAACTGTACTTCAAAGTCATTCTGTTCTCTGTAGTCCATATTTCTTTAAAAAGCAGACATAGCAAGTGACAGTTCTTTCTAGCTCAAACTCGTCTTTACCAATGGCATTCGAACTGCTTTCCCAAAGCTTTGCTTCATTAGGAAGCTGTTGGTGGGCAAAATCAGCAGCAAAGTAGTAGTCGGTAGTGTGATACTACTTCGCGTCATAGCACACACACACTACCCAAAGCGCCAATGCCAGGTGCTTTCCCCAGTGAACAATCACCTTGACCCAGGGAAAGTTTACTCAGTGTAGGTGATGTTTTGCAAAGAAAAAGTAAATGCTTTCAAAGTCATCTCAGATCCCCTAACCCTAACCTGATCAGGTCTAAGATCTGTATCAATAAATAGCGTCTTCTGCCCATTTCTGTAGGAAAGTACTAGAAGTTCTTGTGCTTGGTCTGCAGGCTTACTTCACTGCATAAGTTATTGGCTTCAGTCGACTGGTACAGCACATTGATTGAATCAAGTCCTTCCTTTCTGATAAAAATATTCTTCTCCATTCTTCCTATGCCTTATATTTATGATAGTTCATTGATCAAAGCAAAGCAAGCTGTCAGAGTATGTTTGTGCAGCAGTCAAGATGGTTCCAATACCTGCCCAAGGAGCTCTATGAATATTCAGGCACAAAGCTGTCTCAAGGTTGTTCAGCAATGCAGGCAAAAAATTGTATTTGGCTATCCCAAGGATGAAGATTCAAGTAAAGCCACCCTTACTTCAGGAAGGGGAGGAAAAAAGGACAGGAATACAGCTGGGATAGAAAACAGCAGGGAGAGAGAAGGGCTGGCTTCTTCTGCCAACATGAAAGTGGGAAAACTGGTGGTATCAAATTTCAAATTATCTGAAATAACATGACATCTGTGTTGCAGACCAAGGTTATACATTGCTTAACACAGAGGTGGCATGAGGGCCTGTGGAGATGTCTGAGGGAGCAAAACCTGCTGGCACAGTGTTGGCAGATAAAAGTGAAAGAAGCCAAACCTGATGCAATCCTATCCATCCTGTCTAATGGAAGCAGTCCCTCGCACATACTGTCTTCCAAACTATTCCCATGTATTGTCTCAGGTCACTAGTTGGCATGGGCCAAAGCCAAGACAGGTAGCTTGCTAACATTTAGCAGTACAGATAATCAACATTGGACAGGCCAACCAAGCTCCTCTTTACACTTCAGCTTCCAAAAACAACCAGGAGCACTCCCCACCTATCAGTGACATTACAGGTGCAGAACTAAATGAGTCAGAATTATCTATACGAAATGTTCAGCTGATCAGCTAATATTTGTTTCTAGAGTTTTCAGCTGGGAAAATTTTAATGGGAAAAAAATCATGAGAAGAAGGAACTGATTCTCCCCATCTCTTCTCACAAAACTTGAGAATACCCTTTTTCCATGTAACCAGTAAGGAAAATACGTGGAGAAACTAGGATTTAACCAGCTCTCACACAACTTCCCTGGAAGGCTAAGCTGTAAATCAACAGCTCAGATGCAAAAGAGAAGCTGCAGAGAAGATGAAGTCATACTCTTCTCAGAGGTGCACAGGGAAAAACAAGGAGCAATGGGCACAAGCTGTAGTGAGGGAAATTCCAATAGGATATAAACAAAAATAAAAGTCCCTAATGTGAGAGATGCAGCACTGGGACAGGGCCCAGAGAGGCTGCAGAAACTCCCATCCTTGGCCCTGAGCAATGTAATCTAGCTTTGAAGTTGGTCCTGTGTTGAGCAGGTGGTCGGTCAAAAGACCTTTAGAGGTACCTTCTGACCCAAAATATTCTATGATTTTAAGCAGGTTTTAAATTTATTTATTGTTTATTTCTAGCAGTTAGAGCATGTAAACACAAACAGTTTAAAACTGATAACACTCAGGTCAATATACTTCCTTCGTGCTTTCTCCTTTTCCTGGTACACCCCACAGACATGAAAAGTTGAGTTCTTAGTAAACCTCTGAAGAAATAGTGCAAGTGACAAGTAAAAATTTTGGCATGAGTACACGTGATAATAACTGACAGAAATAGCTGGAGTTCAGTAACTGCAAAAAAGAAATCTCTCAGGGGGGCACACCAGACAATGACACGTTACAGCAACTCAGGCAGACATACATCTGACACAGAGGCATCAGAAAGCAAGCATGTGGCCAGCGTTTGCAGCTATTAAGGCCTGTCAGCACTGTGAATCATTAATGATCCCTATTATCCCTACTACAGCAGTTGTCAGTAGTTTTGCTACATGGAAATACTAGACATGAGCCAAGGTCTGATGTTGCCAGGTGACATGACTCAGGGTAGGACACCTGGCCTGTCTCTGCAGCTGACCTTGTTCCACTGCTTGCAGCAGCAATAGTATGCATTTTCCAAGTGCAAAAATGCATCCTTTGTATCTTTCTTACCTTCTCAGAAGAAACACTGCTTCTGAGGAGGCTGTTTTCCCTATTGGTTGTGGGTAGGACAAGAACACTATAGCAAAGGAGACTGAGGTCTGATTTTTTCAAAAGAGAGAGAGTACCTCTCTGACTTCTTTGTACGGTGCTATGACCAATTGCATGCAAGAGTCTCTGATTTTAATGCCAGCCTTGCACACTTATCATGGCCAGGAATCTTCATTCTGCCTTTCTGGTAGTCCTCCATTGTCTGGTCTTCCATTGGTAGGCCATGATTTTTGAAGTAACCACTGCTCCCTCCATCTTGTTGAGCTTAGTCTCCATTGTTCAACATTCTCTGAAATTGCATAGGACACCTATTTGTTTCCCTTTTGTAGCTCTATGGGTTGGTCATTCTCAGACTTTCCTATTTATTACCTGCTTAAGATAAAAATGTCTTTGCTTTTGCCTTTCTGATGAGAGCAAGGGAACAAAAGTGGGAATGTTGAGCATGAAGAGGTAGTGAGTGCTAGACAAGGGTGATAGACCACCTGCCATAAAGGATAAGAAGGAGTTTTTAATTTAACATATAGCTTGTGACAGAGATTACTCGTACCATCACATGGCACAAGCCATAGCACATGTGCGATATCAGCAATAGCCCATACTAGCAATGCTGAGTCTGCTCAGAAGAATAGCATCTAGACCGCACTGAACTGGGCCCCCTAAAAAGCCTCTGAACATTGGTCCCAGGCACCACATACATAAGGGGGTCAATGACCAGCATATATGCTGACATCAAAAGCAATAGGTTAATTTGTGTAGATTCACAGGCTTTCAGGAGAACCCTTACCTGCTCTGAAGCTCTAGCTCAAGCTTTTCTGGAAGCCAAAAGTCTGGTAAAAATCATGTATAACTAGGCTAATCAGACAGGAGCAGAGACATGTAACAGCAAACTCTCCTTATTCCAGAAATCTATTTTCAATGTCAGGCATTTGCACTAGAGAGGCCTCTGAATTAACATTGACTCCAAGCACTCAGACTTCAGATAGTAAACAAGTTTCATAATCCAATTTGGGATCCCCAGCCTAATGAAAGGCAGAAGACATTGATAATCAACTGTCTCCAGACATCCTTCCAGGTTCAGAATGTGTAGCTTTTTTACACTGCCCCATATATGTAACAAAGCCAAGGCTGTTTGGCTTCCCTGTGCTTCAAATGAAGCTACATTTAGCAAAGCAGATGTAAAAACAGCATTCTGGAGCCTTTAGTGGTTAATTCTGTAATGAAATTGGTTAGAATCCAAGACAAAAACTACAAGGTCAAATGACTACCAAAATCGGAGTTGTGGATTTTAAATTCATGTATCAATCAGCTTCAATGTTTGTCCTCCATAATAAAAGGGCCAAGAATCAGAAATGAATGGAAATGTTTGTACTGCATAGAGGCAAAGCGTTACTCAGGCTGATTTTTTGCAGCTGTACAGGCTTAGAAGAAATGAAAATAGTAGAACGTTATTTTTATCAAGTTGGATTAGAAGGCAATGATGAAGCAGGTAGTGTGAAAAAACAAGGTATCATCCTACCACCTCTTTTCTAATCATAAATATACTTCAATTTGCATTTCTTTTCTAGTGAAAACTGCTGTTGAAATAAACTTAAATCATATGCATATTCTCTCTGAAATTATATTTGTGATTCTATGGGCACAAATAAGTAATTTGGTTCTTGAAGCAATTTGCCAAGTCAGTGTTTATTGAACATTTCAACATTTCAAAACAAGGACTTAGACAATGTTCCCAGCAGAGTGAATAGACAATCTTGCATTGATTTCAACAGCACAGGACCAGATCCTAATTCCTTTCTTTTTCAGAAGAAAATCTGCATTTTGTGATAATGACTACTTACAATTGTTAGCTGATCATAAAAGGCTCCATTTTTTTCTGTAAACAAGACTGTTTCTCCTCATATCTAGTGGTAATATAGTGTCTCGCAGTATGGATTACCTGGTCTCACTGAGAGCGATACAGGCTGAGTTCATCAAACAGGCAAATCTCCCTCTACTCTGAGAATATCTGCTCCTGTGCCCTCAGTGCTCAACAGGCACAAGATTTTACAAAGCTCTGAAACGGTGACTAAAGCCAGCCCGAGATCAGGCAAAGCATTTCAAAAGCTCCCAGTCTGCTTCCTCTCTCTGACTTCTCCTTGCACCACAAGCAAGAGAAGAAACAGAAAGACCCAGACTTAGAGCAGAGTATTGAACATTGCAGAAAATGTCTTGTGCTGTGCAGTGCTATGCCTTCTTCTCCTGATGTCGAAGCCTAACAACCTCGCAGAGGCAGCAGGGAACAGAAATAGCCACCTGGTTCTGCCAAATATTCCACAGATGAGTTCAGTGTCAGGGAGCCTTGTGATCACAGCAAATGAGAAGTGAATACTGAAGACTGTTCACAAAAGGCAAACTTGGACCTTACAGATGCAAACAGCTGCATAACATAAAAGTTGCCCTCATCCTATCGGGAAAGTGGGGAATGACGTGCATGCAGACAAATCACAGTCAAAATGATGTCTGCTTGACATTTGTATACGTGCAATAAAGCCCATGAGAACAACTTGTAGATTATAAATCTTTGACGTTTTTGAAATTAGTGAATTTTCAATGAATTTGCATACAAACCGTTTACAACTATGTTACAAGAGATAAAATTAGTCTACTAAATTACAGTGAAACATTCACTGAACTCTCTATATCAGCTTGTGTTACAAAAAGGTCAGTTATAATTTGTAATATTCCCTGTTGAAACTCCTAATTATTTTGCAGGACATCATACAACTCTAATATAGTATACAATCAAAATAGGCTACAAGTATTTAAATTAGACAAGTATGCCCTTTACATACCTCCTTTTGCTTTGTATTTGTACAGTACCATGACAAGATGTCTGAAGCACTACCAAAGTACAAAAAAATCACATTGCTAATGATAAAATGATTGCGTAGGGATTATAGTAATATGTTACATTCACAGCCACAGAGGTCATGAGAGTATCTTCTGTACAGCTTATAGTTTGTTGTTGACACTAGATTCATGTTATTCTACAGACTCTAAATAAAAATATGTGCTTGGAAACACTGGATTGTGCCTTTCCAATGATGTTCTGGAATAGAGGAGACAAGGGCAACACTGGTTGCATCTTTACTGGAAAATAAAATGTTCCCAAGGACTGGCAGCCAACTCCTTGTATGGTAAAATTCCTAGAAAAGCCCCTGGCATGGTTTTGACCAGTGCAGAACTGAGTACACACAATTCCTGGCTACATTTCGGGTGTTATCATGGGACACAGACTATTCCTAATAAGCAGATTGTATGAGACTACCCTGCTTTGAAAACAACAGGAGTTCAATAATACAAGTGTGGGCTGTACTACTCCATTTAGCCTCCATGCTAAAGAATAGGCCTGGGCACAGTTAATTTGCTAATATAGCCATAGCCAGTACCTACTGCTATGATGAAACACAAGCGAACTATTCAGGGACTTATTTAAGAGAACTCCTTGTCATTTGCTGGAAAAGGAAACAAGTCACTGAAATCTCATATGTCATGTATGCATTTGCCTAAGAGACTCACTGAAACAAATACTTTGAACAGAATACTCTAAATTGGCCTAAATTGGCACAGTGTTGCTACCTGGCTGTTGTGTTCAAACAAACATAATGTTTACTGGCAGAGGGGGAAGCGTTCAGAAGTACTTTTTTTTTTTTTCAGTGCAGATTAATAATATATATATATTTTTGTCGTGAAGAAACGCGGAGAGAGTAAAAATAGCTCTCAAGTGAGATAGCTGCTATTCACTCCCCTGTTTCTGGAACCATGACAGCCATTATGTAACCAAAAGGAAAATTAAATTAAATAAACAGCATAAGCTAATTGGGTTCATATCAAGTAAAAATATAATTAGTCAAAGTGTTTTGTGGCAAAGGCGCTGACAATATGTGGCTGTTCCTCAGCCTTAGTGGTGAACAGGGATCCTGCCATGTGTTTAAAACTTATTCATCAAGCATTTCCATGGAAACACATAGATGCACAATCCTTGGATCACTTATTTCAGGAATTGCTGCTCGCAAGGTTCACTCTGGAGTGAGAACTCAAACCAGGAGAGGGTGACGGACTGTGACTCTGATCTAGAAACCTTCCCATACAGGTATTCGTTGGGTCTCACAGGAGGAGAATTTGGATGAGGGAAAGAGTCAAAGGGCATCTTGCATAAGAGAAAAAGACTGAAAACTTGACCTTAATTTTTCCTCTTAGAGACTGCCTGAGAGTTGAGAAATGACAGCACTGGAAGGAGCCTGAAGAGCTTACAAAATGGCCAGATGCCCCCAGGGAGATTAAAATGTCCGCAAGAGTGTCAGCAAGATGCTATACTGATCGAGACATAGGTTAAATGCAGTCACTGGGTTTGGTTGTCCAAAGCTGCCCTCTCACATATCCAGATGGGAGTCAGCTCTGGCGCAACTTCTCAAAGTTAAGAAAAATCCTCCCACATTGGAAGGGGCAGGTCTCTGAAGCCCACTTACAGTGACAGCCAACACCGTGTTCTGGGGAGCACAGCGGCTCCTTGCTCCTGCTACAAAACCTATAGCTGCTTGAGAAAATGTGGCCCCTCCCTCTCTTTGTGGGTCAGCCCATGTACTGTGAAAATTTGTTGTATGAATAAAAGGTGCTTCGTTGCTAGCAAGTACTTCTACAGGAAATAAACACTGTATGCAAAGCAGGCTGGATGGGTGCAGCATATGACTGCTAGGCATCTCTGGATGGGGATGTCCCTTCAGATATCTCCTGATGCCAGTAACAAAATCAGCACCTGTGTCCCCTCCCAGTCCTGCTACGCTTTTTTAATGCACTTTGCCGTTTCTTGTAAGAGATGCTCAGGCAGGGAGGTCTAGGACATGGTTGCCTTTATTAGCAAGGTCAGAAGTAAGGTATATTCTCAAAGGCAACAAGGGACACCTGCACCCTGTCTCTGTGTTCATGCCAGGCTCTATCTGGTAGGAGAAAGCAAAATATTCATAATGCCTTAAAGATAATGAACCACTTTAAACCAGCGTTACTAGTCTAACATACAGTCCGTTAAAACCTCAAAAGCCAGAGCCTTCATAGGCTGTTCATAAGTATTTGAGGGGTCTGTTACTGCAGTGATGTGATAGCGCCTGCGGACTGAAATTTCCTTAGGCACAATAGAGAGTTAAGCAGAAAGTGTGAAGCCTTAACTTCAAATTTTCTGGCTTTGGCTTAAGTCTGCCTCACAAGGTTCCTGCAATGCCTTTTTATTGTGCTTATTTCGTCATACATTATATAGCATCAGTTATAATGCAAGTAGGCACACTGTCACCAACTGGGGTAGGTTCATTCAGAACTGACTGCCTTGTGACATGACTTCCAGTGCTACCGCTACCATCAGCCTGAATAATGCTCTCTTTAGACACAGCAGCAACCTTAAAAGGTGGCACAGAATGCAGCACACAGTCTTAAAACACAGAACTGCTATCAGGGTTCCGTGCTACTGTCGACCTTTGAGCCTTTCTTTTAACACAGAAAGGGCTATGGGGCTGAACAGAGGCTTGGCTGGCAGTGGAGCAGGACAGAAGGAGAAACAGTCTACAATCCCTTTTTTTTTTATTCCTGGGTATTTCACTCACCCCTAAAACCTTACAAGGGTCTGTCATCTTTCTCCACAGGGGTGAGTCTGCACATCTTGAAAAAGCTACAGGTGCTATGAGACTCCACAGACGATCTGCCGTGTAGCACGTGTTCCTAAGAGGGGGAGACTAAAATGCTCTTCGAGCCACACCGACCCTCCAAGAGCAGCCCCTTGCGCAACCCTCTCTCTGGACGAGAGCCCAGGCGTCCCTGGTAGCTCCCCCGTGCGAAAGGGTTTGGCCCCACTGCCCAGGGCAGTGCCAGGCAGAGACACCCAAGCCCCTGGGGTGCCAGAGACAGGACCGCTGTGTCAAGCAGGAGCTTTGATGGGGTTATGCCCCCATTTCCCAGCCTGGCAAGAGGTAATCGGAGGCAACCGGAGCTCAGGGAAACGAAGTGCTTCCCAAGCCAAGCTGCTTGCTCCCAGCTCTCTGCTTGAAGGTGGCCCCTCACAGCAGGATTGGGCAGCCCACCCAGTCAGTTACTGGGTGGGCTGTTGGTGTATACGGTGGCCGTTGCAGGGCGCACCGGCAACACGCGTGTCAACGCCCTGGCTCTTCAGGAGGAGCTTCTCCGTAAACCGGTGGTACAACATCACATCAGTGCTACTCTGTTCAGAGCCAAGTGTCTAGGCAGAGCCAGCAGAAGCCTTTTCCCTTCACAGCCTGGCAGCAGAATGATAGCAGTTAGCCAGAAGAGAGAAAATTAGGAGTTCAAGAGCTGAAATTCCTGCAGGAACAAGCCCCAGAGTGCAGAAGGTTTCCAGTAAAAGACAACACTTACCCCAGACCTCGCCGTTTCCTCAGCTTCATGCAAAACACATTCGATAAAACCACTCTCCTCCTCAGTAAAGTCTTTTTTCTTGCACATAAACATAATGAAGCTATTTATCTCAAAAGGCTGGGAAACTAAAAAAAAAAAAAGCAGTTACTGTCATTTCTGGGGTTTAAATTCTTGTAAGACACAGAGGAATGCTGTTTAGGCCCATACCATTAGAAAAAAAAATGTACCCTTGAATTAAGGCCACAGGCATACTAAATTAAAATTAAATCATCTTCTGAAGTACTGTATGTTTTACATTACTGGGAGGAGGACGCACAATTCCCTGTCTCAGTATCAGCAAGATATTGATTTTCTATGGAAATGTGCTTGAATTGTTCTTGGTACATATTACACTGTTGCCTGTCTTCAACAAGAGTAAGATTGGTTCATTCTAAAGACGGGGGGGGTTTAAAACTCCTTATACTTATTTAATACATTCCCCATAGCAATGCAATTGAAAGAAAAAATAGCTCAACAATTTCTCATTTTCTCTGCTCATCTTGTTGACTGAAACCCCCAAGTGAATCCATTTCCTCATTTATATCTGCTATCTCCCAGAAGATCTTTCTTGGTGCATAAGAAATCTCATTTATTAAACTGTAAAGGGGGATGGGGGGAAGAAAGTTCTGCTTAAACACATCTTGCAGAATTTAAATATGGGTGTAGATAGGATGACCTGATAGATAGGAAATGAGAGTTTTCCTTCAAAGTATTTCTATTTAGCAATAAATTGAGGATGCTTGGCATCATTTGACTTCTGTGTTGTGCATCTAACAGGTGAGCGAAGAACAAGGATGATCATTTTATTGATTAATAGCAATTTCATGCCAGTAATACAGGAAGAAGTTGTGTGTTGACTTAGAGAAATAATAAGAAAAATAATGCCTGCCTTTTTTCTTGTTTGTTTGTTTTTTATGGCAGCTAACGTACTGGAAGAAGACTCAATGGAGCAGGACATAGAGAGCCCTGTCACTATTCATCAACCAAAGTTGCCCAAACAAGCTAGAGAGGATCTGCCAAAAAATATAAACAAAGAATGTGCCAAGAGAAAAATCCAGAGGTATGTTAGGAAAGATGGGAAATGCAACGTCCACCATGGGAATGTCAGAGAGACTTACCGTTACTTGACTGACATCTTCACTACCTTAGTCGATCTCAAGTGGAGGTTCAACCTGTTGATTTTTGTCATGGTTTACACTGTGACCTGGCTCTTCTTTGGAATGATATGGTGGCTAATTGCCTACATGCGAGGAGATATGGATCATATAGGGGACAGCACGTGGACCCCATGCGTCAGCAACCTCAATGGGTTTGTCTCAGCCTTTTTATTCTCAATCGAGACAGAAACCACCATTGGGTATGGTTACCGGGTCATCACAGACAAGTGTCCCGAGGGAATTATTCTGCTTTTAGTGCAGTCTGTTTTAGGTTCTATCGTCAACGCTTTCATGGTTGGCTGCATGTTTGTGAAAATATCCCAACCCAAGAAGAGGGCAGAAACCTTGGTTTTTTCTACAAACGCAGTTATTTCCATGCGGGATGGAAAGCTGTGTCTGATGTTCCGAGTAGGAGACCTTAGGAATTCACACATTGTAGAGGCATCAATACGAGCCAAGTTGATCAAATCCAAACAGACAAAGGAGGGGGAATTTATACCACTCAACCAGACAGATATCAACGTAGGTTATTACACAGGGGATGATCGTCTCTTTTTGGTTTCACCACTGATCATCAGCCATGAAATTAACCAGCAGAGTCCTTTCTGGGAGATTTCCAAAGCCCAGTTGCCCAAAGAGGAGCTAGAAATTGTTGTAATCCTAGAAGGAATGGTGGAGGCAACAGGTAACATTTCTTATACTTTGTATAAGGTAAATGCTTTAATTTTAGAAAGGAAAATCAGTGGGTTTGCTTCACTTTAAAGGAATCACTTCAATAGTCATTACATTTGAAAAAGGCATCAGTTACCTGGTTAGCTTCAAAATTAAAAGCATGCCCAGTTTAATTGTCTGTTCCATCTTGCCTAATGGAATTAGTGTTGTTTCTGCTCTGTTTGGAAAATGGAATAGCATTTCTCATTTTCTAAATTTTTCACAGCATGTCACCCAGTTATTTGTCATTCTATTGCAGGAGCAACTCAACCACTAGGACCCTGTGGGATAAAATGATTTAGAACGAAAAAATTCAATACAAAACTCTGTTTATGATTAACACGGAAGCACCATAGCTCCTGCTGCTTCCCGTCACCCATGGGTAACTGCAGAATAACTGCCTGCCATGTGAAATTCCTAGCTTGTTTGGATCCAGTAGGAAGTGATAATGTGTTCAGTTTTCTCTTTTTGCTTGCTTGTTTACTTGTTTTTGGTTTAACTTGTAACATGGGGCTTGTTCCACTTTAGTTCACAAAAGATCTGTCTGATTTTGTATTTTGCTGAGGCCCCCTACACACTGCAGAAGCGTACAGAATATTTAAATCTGGTATATATAAATAAGGCATGTTATGTCACCAGAGTCTTGTTGAGAGGCTATATTTGGTCATTACCTATGATTATACAGCAGAACATCAGATATCACTTGACAGAGAGAAAATAGTGCTTGGAATTCACAGCAAATGGACTAGTAATGTTTTTTCTTAACATTAAAGCCAGAATAGTAAGATGATATTTTCTCTAAAACTGCTGTGTTTCCCGCAGTCAGAGTGCTGGTACACTTGTTTTAGGAGCTGGAGGTACTTTTTTTCCTGTTAATGACAGTATCAATCTCTGAAGTGAGTAAATATAATCAATACAACAGAACAGTGATTAGAAAATGAAGAAAAGATGTGCTTAGGGAGGAGGAAACACTGAGTATAGGAATAGAAGAACCAGATTTGCCATTTTTCCCCACTACTGTAGCAGAAGCTAGAAAAGTTTGAGGATGTGGATTACACATCTCTGACAGAGGTACAACCTTTCTAACCCTGACTCATGTTTTGCAACTGGAGCCAGGAAATAAAGAGCAGTCTCTTACTAGAACATGTGTGTGTGTTTCACACATCTATTATGTGGTGTCAGAAGAAAACTGCATTTGTCACCATATAATAAACGTGTGAGACAAAAATGGAGAAAAAAAAAAAATTGAAAGGAACTTGGCAGAGAATTTGAAGTGGTAAATGCAAGGCTTCCAAATTTTCCAGGAAGTAGGTGGTACTGAAGAGAAATCAAGATGAAATGTTTAGTGTTTCTGATACGTGCAGTAGGCACAGAGGTTTCAAACATCTGCATCACCTTCGGGTGAGACGATGAGGAAATTGCTGTTTGTTAGCTGAAACCATTTTGAAATTTCTGAATTGCAGCTAAATGAAGTTGACATCCCAAAGAGCGGTGGATGTTTTCAGGTTTACGGAACAACATGTTTTCCAGAAAAAGTATTGGCAAGTAGTAGAAGTATAAAAATCATCTCACCGAAAATACCTATAAGGTCAAAAGACAGTATACTTCTGCAGTGCATCAAATGTAATCTTGTTGTCTTAAGCCTTGCCACTCTTCACTGCTTAACCCTCCCTCCCCTACCTCAGCTTCACCCCTGCACACTCACTCAGCTCTCTGGGCTCTCCTTTGCTTCTCTGAGACTGACCGCATCTTCCACTCAGCCATTATCAGCCTTCACCAGAGGGGGCTACCTCTCAGACTGCTTGGGCTGGCAAAGTTTAAGTTAAAATGAGTTCATATTAACAAAGAAACTGGATGCAGTGATTTGAAAACCCACTGAAGCCATCCAGGATTAAGGTGTTACCCCGGCACTGCATAGGTAGCTACGTTTACCATTTTAAGCTGCTCCATTTTGTTCTGTTTGGGTCGGCTCTCTAGCTGCATGAGATATAAGGGGAGGGCATCGAATAATGCTGCTTAACTATGGCATCAGAAAGTTTAATGTCATAAATACCAGCACAATTTCTAAAACATGTTTATGTGGAAGTAGCCACTTGTTCTGTGCTTTGCCCACATGCATTGGGTTATTTTTGTTGAAGGTGCTATCAGGTCAACTTTCTACCAAAACTAGACATTTTCCCTCTTTTAATTTACAAATATTTTCCAGCTACATCCTGGCAAACACTAAAAGCAAATCTAGGCCATCATATACTCACATTTCCTTCTTACACCCAATGTAGAGTGAGAACAGTAAAAGAAGTTGCTTATAGCAGCAACCTCCAACCCTGGAGAGCAAGAAATACACTACCCATCATACCTGCCAACATTGGTCAAAGTCACGCGATACAAAAAACATTAAAACTGAAGCTAAGAAACTGTGACCTCAGCTATAGCAATATCATCATTCATGGGTCAAAACCAGACTGAGATCATTAGCCTATGTTATTCATCAGAAAAGCCACTCCCAAGTTTGTCCAGTGAAAACAATCCTTTCTCTATTTTCGGAGCTTCCCCACTCTGACAACATTTATACCTTTAATGAGAAGTAACATAGTGGAAAATGCTAAGTATCAACATTTGCTATTATTTTTATTAATTATTGATATTATTCTGTTTAAAGTTTTACTGAGCAGGTGATATCATTTTATACATATATAATACTTTCCACCTTAAGGGCTTAATGATGCACATCTCTCAAGTGTCCAAAAAACCCAATCATGGTGAGAAGTACATTAGACTGCCATGAAGAAACCAACAAGCCTTCAGGAACAGGGGGCTAAAGTCCAACCAAGCGTCACTACATCTGAAGGACACATCTGTTATTTCCACGTTTTGCAGCCCCCATTCCATTTCCCACCATGCTAACAGCAGGTAGGAGTGCCAGTGCAATGGAAGGGTTGACACTAACTCTGAAAAAACTGAAGTAACGTCCATCTTTAATAGGGAAGCCATTTCTGAGGCGCTTATACTTCTTTTAGTGTCAGACTACAGCTGTGGCATTGACAGAATAGCCCCATATCAGCAAAGGCTCTGGTCCCACACTTAAGCAGCACTAAAAAAACAGGATTCTGGCATCCCTCCGCTTCTTATGGGAGAGCTGTAACATTAGATGCAAATTAACTAACTGGAAAGAACATGACTAACACGCTGATCTCAGTTCAGCAGTATTTGATATTTGCCATTCAAAATAGATCATTTATATTAAAGTGCCACCACTGTTTCATATTATTTTCTGGAGACCACTTAAGAGATTTGTTAGAGACCAATTAAGAGATTTGTTAGAGTATGCACATTTATAGTAATGGAATTTGAGAAAACGATTTTTTTTCCTTGGACCAACAAAAAAACTTGGGTTCAAAGATCCTGAACCCTGTCCCCACTAAATAGCAGGCACAAAAGCTTGGATTTGAAGAACTTATTTATTTGTTTTAAATTTAAAAAAAAATCTCCATTGAAGAATTTTTTTATGATAATTTAACAGCTTCTTTCTAACAATAAGCACGAAATTTTTAAGCTTTTTTTGCCTAGTGAAATCTATATTTAAGGGAGGTCTTATCATCATAAGCAAACTAGTCATTTTAAAAAATTAAACAAGACTTCCAAATGTATAATTCTGATATAGAAAATAAACCAAGATCAAGAAAAGGAAAGTCTTTTAAATCTGGAGAGGTGAAGTGGGAAAGTGAGGTATGTTACAACAGCTAAAGAAACTGAGAGAGAAAGAAAGTAAGAAACTCAGAGAGAGGGATAACAAAAAAAAGGTGCAAAAGAGGACTATGCTGAACAGCCCATAGCCTTGTTGGTAATGCAGTTCCTGAATCATAAGCAGCCTGGTTCAATTCCCTCCTCTAAACCTGCGTTAATTTGCAGAAAACAGTGCTTTCTAACACAGGAAAGGAATATGAAGTATTTCAACCTACTTAAGTTGGCAAGACCCTCAAACTTTGTGAAGTTGTATCTGGCCGGTAGGGTGCACTAGATGACACTCTGGCAATTCCCTCTGCCTAAAAATAAAAACCTGAAAATTGAAACAGCACCAAGGAAAAAAAATTATCTACACATTTATAACTGTCAAAAAATAAGTAACAAAGCTAGACAGATAACTTTAGGTTTATATGGATAATTTTACAAATAAACTTGTAATAGTGTGCATTTATAATCCTGACACACAGGCAGCTTGAGAGCAGTATTTGCAGAATGGTTTATAGATACGTAAACAAACACACTTGCCAGCTGTGGAAAATGTGTGTGGAAAGCAATAAAATGTTCACGTAGATGGTTATTTATGTTGTAAATGATGCTATCAACTAGACAAACATTGTATAAAGCTGTTCCCACTCTTCACTACAGCCCCTTTGACTGACCGATTTATTGTCTTTTTTATTTCTCCCGGATGAATTGCCATATTTAGCCCTTATCCTTGCCCAATCCTAACAAATATCTCCCTTTGATATGTATGTTAGCAGTTCCAACCTTTCAAAACATTTCTGCAGACTTTGCTCGCTCTCCAAATAAGCATTGCTCAGGTTAGTTTTGCACTAGAATTTTTTACTGGTCTTCAAAGAAGAGATGTTTATGCTCTCAGATTGCTTCTTAAGGGGATGTAGATGAAAGGAAGAAAAGAACCAGGATTTCTCACACCCAAGTGTTTCTGCAAGGCAACTGGTGAAAGTAGATTTGATTGTTGTGCGCTGGGATGTGACCAACGTACATTGACGGAAATACAATTTAAACAGGGTTAAGAATAAATGGCTTCTGCTCTAAGCTGGATTATCATCATTTCAGGAACAGTCAGAATACAACGGCTCTCCAGTCTTAGTTTTCCTTTCTTTCTGTTTTAATAGTTTTAACATCTCTTGGTGCTAGGTGCTAGACTTAGATATCTAGGTTCACCTTCTCATATAGCCCCAATTCCCTAGTAATCCCTTTCACTTA